GCATAATCATTTAAGGTTTTTTTGATAGTGGCATATATTCTATCTTAGAAAAGTTAATTCAAAAAAATCGCAAAAAATCGCAACTTTAAACTTATTGGAAGCGTATGTCTCCATGCGTATGTGTATAGTAAGATCCTTTATATGGATACTTCTCATAAATTAATTGTTATAGTAGCTAGAGAAGCACTTGAAATATAAAGTTACGTAATTTTTCTCATGATTTCCGAAGAGGTATGTCATAAATGTCAAATGACATTTTTTGACAAATTGACAAATTTTGACAGTACCTAATTTTTTAAATTAAATGAAATTGATTTTTCTTTCAGATTTAAAAATGTGCACTTCGTGACCATTGCTTCCAGCTGTTATAAAACAAAATATCAGTAAATAGTAGGTGGTAAAATAAAATTTTGATATTTTTAATAGGTATAAGTTCTGTTATTTTCGAAATCGTCATTGTTTAAGTCTCAGAATATTGTTACTTATTTAAAATATAATAATAAAATATTGTTCCCATATTGTCTGGTATTATTAGAGACCCAACTTATTCAAATGACAAACAGTCTTGAATAAAAGTTCGATTGGATTAGTATACTTAGGGTTTTCTTTTATACATTGACACCCCCTTTATCTTTTTTATTTGAGGTTTCCGAAAACTGTCTCAAACGAAAGTGGTTTTGAATAAATTTGCAAAAAAAGTCTATTTCGCATATTCAAAGTGCTTCAAAAAATCTGGGCGTGGTTCAACTATCTTGTTTCAAATTAGGTATAGGATATGCTACATAAAAGTAGTTAGGATTTTTAGGAGAAAAATAAAAAATTGGGTACTAATTTGAAATAAGAAAGTTGGGCCACGCACAGGATTCCTAAGGCACCCGGTATATGCAAAGAAGACTGTTTTGAAAAATGTATTCCAGACCATTAAACTTTTATTCAAGCCACTTTTTTCGAAAACGTCGAATAAAAAAGATACAGAGGATGTCAATATATATATACCTAACCTAACAAACCCTGTATATGCCGGAGGAGTAATAATTGCTCAATATTTGTCTGTTTCATCTTGGCTCTGCCAAAAATCGTAAAATTTAGTGAAATGTAAAATATTCTTACCGCATTTTGGTAGCTGTATTAGTCAAAAGATGATTTTTCCATTTTATGAATCCCCCCCACCACCCCCAGCCAATCTCAAGTCAGCCAAAACTAACTGGGTTCACGGGCTACTGGCATAGAATGTTTTTACCAAATTTGAATGAAATCGTACGATAAAAGAATTTTTGCAACATACTTCCGGATTTTTGCCCACTGTGCGACATCAGGAAAAAATACTTTTTATCTTTTTAATTAAATGAAAAAAAATCCGGCGACGACAGTTTTTAGAAGAGCCAATTAGCTATCTTTTAGTAAAAAAAGCAACTTTCTAGAGCATGTCGTTATTTCAGTAGAGACGACACAGATAAACATTAGCATTTTATATACAGGGTGAGTTTCCTACGATGTTCTCTATGGGTATCTCAGAAACTACTGGAGATAGAGAGTCAGTTAAATGGGGAAAGAATTGCAGTTTTGTGGGGTCATAAATATGCGCTTTTCAGATTTTCGAAAAAGTTCATGGCTTACTAGATATTTCGAAAAAAACAAATTTTGGCTATTTTAAAAATTGTCCCTAATTCCATTATAATCTATTTTAGACAAAAGTTTTCAGATAAAAAGTTGTAGATACTCACATCCCTAATGAGATTATGTTCTCCGATTTTTTCTAAAGCCTGTCATTTTTGACATATGACACAAACATATGTTTTTTTAAATGGAATCCATAGTTGGCCACGACTTCATAAAAAGCGCCGTTTTTTAAGCTTTTCAACGATATAAGCTATAATATGTTTCTTTCACAAAATTACTGAGTTATAACCAATTCTTATCTTTCTTGACTAATTTCACTTAGCCATGGAAACAAGTTCAATCGTCGTTGCTCTCAGAAATGTGAAATTGTCACATCCAATCTTTGTAAATTAACATAAACAAAAAAATTGTAAATAAGAGTTTTTAAATGAAGAACAGCGTGTAGAATTATTGGTTCAACTTTTCTTGGCCATACAGTTTCGAGGATATGTTGACCGGTGAACGTTACGTTTTTTAGAAAACGGTTTTCAAGACATGTTAGAAAAGTTAAATTTAGATACTCGCGCATTAATACAGTGGTTCCAACATGACTTTCATTATGACGCACCAACCTCTCCCCACAATGAAAAAATGTTATTTAAAAAATTATTTATATCATAATTATGTAGACTCAGGGAGGTGGACCAATTGCATGGGTCTCCTCGGTCACCTGACTTATCCATTTTAGATTTTTTTATGCGGTATGGTTAACAACAAGGTTTACAAAAAAACTTATGAATTAAGAGAGGCACTCGAAGAGGCGGAACAGGAGAAGTTTAATTAAGTCGACCGGTCGTTCTGTGACAATAGCTAGAAATTCAGTTTTAAAAAGATGCATTTATGTACTCAAAATAATTGCTGATTTTTTGAACATTTTCTAAAATAACTTAAAGTGTACGTAGTGATATTATTTTTAAACTATGGTTTCCATTTAAAAAAACATATGTTTGTGTCATATGTCAAAAATGACAGGTTTTATAAAAAATCGGAGAACACAAACTCATTAGGAATGTGATTATCTACAACTTTTATCTGAACCCTTTTTGTCTAAAATAGATTGTAATGGAATTAAGGACAATTTTTAAAATAGCCAAAATTTGTTTTTTTCGAAATATCTAGTAAGCCATGAACTTTTTCAAAAATCTGAAAGGCGCATATTTATGACCCCACAAAACTGCAATTCTTTCCCCATTTAACCGACTCTCTATCTCCAGTAGTTTCCGAGATGCCCATAGAGAACTTCGTAGGAAACTCACCCTGTATGGAGATACTCAGGATTACTGATGAAAACTATCGGCATAGCGATAAGTATCGACATATTGATAACTAAAATTTATCGATAGGTGAATTGCGATAACTTATCGAGAGCTAATATCTATTTTCGGCCATCCCTAGTCAGGGACCATCTATAGGGTTGTTCACCACATACGACACGGAGTATTGTAGCTAAACGATTAGATTTTTACAAATTGTAAGTTTTGGGTTCGTTGTAGGACTATTAGAGCTACAATTTAAAAATATTTTTACAAGATACAGAGTGTCCCCAACAAATAAAAAATATCAAAGATGTATTTTTTTAAATGGAACACCCTGTACATTATTACATTTTTAGTTTCTACGATTAAAATAAAGGTAAATTTGATAAAGGTTTATTACACTTCTTACCGTTTTTGAAATATTTTCAATTTTGTGAAATTGCAGTCAAAATTTTAAGATTTCATTTCTCCAAGGGTATCAAAGTTTCTAATACTAAATATTTACTGAAGTTTATGTATTGATCAGTTATTGTGTTGCAATACTAAAAATTATACTACCTTATACAGAGTGTCTAAAATTTTATTTTAAATAATTACTAGCTTTAAACGGCAATAACTTGTTTAATTTAAATGGAATACCCTGTATATTTTATGAGAATCAGATGCACAATTTAATTGTCTATCAAATTGTATTATGCCATTTTTTACTTATCTCTTCAAGTTTCCGTAGAAAATGCATTTTCTTGTAATTAGTAGTATAATAGACCTCATTTATCAATATACCCATGGAATATTGACATTTTAGATTATTTTTAAAGATGTATCAAATTTTTAAAGAGTACAGATAGTAATATTATCGATATAGTTTGTTTATTTCATTAAAAAATAAAAAAAAAACTGTTTAAATATTTGTTAAAGAGGACCAATTAATATGATTCCAGTATTCAAACTACATTAATTGACTGTTTGCGTTGATTAATAATAATTGCTCCAAATACTAAAAAACTGAATTTTGTATGTGTATTAGACAGTGTGGTAAAAAGTAACACCTTGAAAATGATATTTCATTTTTTGACAAATGCTTATTTATAACAACAGAGACATTCATTTTCATAACTTATTATTATATTGATTTCTGAATCAAATCACATTTATTTAGAATAATTTATTAACGAACATAATTAAGTATGTAATTAATTAGTATTTGGGCGGAAATAATGGTGGTATATTTAATTAATGGTATACTCCTTTATAAAGATTTACATAGTTTTTTTTGTATACAAATGGGCTAGTAATATTATCATTTTGCTAAAAACGATACTATTACTAGCCTGTACATTTTGTACATTTGTTACTTTAAAAACAATCTAAAATGTCAATATTCCATGGGTATATTGATAAATGAGGTCTAAATTATAAGAAACTGCATTTTCTACGAAAACTTGAAGGGATAGGTAAAAAGTGGTATAATACAATTTTAAAGACAATTAAATTGTGCATCTGATTCTCCTAAAATTTACAGGGCGTTCCATTTAAATTAAACAAGTTATTGCCGTTTAAAGCTATAAATAATTTAAAATAAATGTTTAGACACTCTGTATGAGGTAGTATTATTTTTGTTACTGCAACACAATAACTGATTAATAAATAGACTTCAGTAAATATTTAGTATTAAAAACTTTGATACCCTTGGAGAAATGAAGCCTTAAAAATTTTACTGCAATTTCACAAAATTGAAAATATTTCAAAAACGGTAAGGTTTAAGTGTAATAAACCTTAATCAAATTTACATTTATTTTAATCGCAAAAACTAAAAATGTAATAATATACAGGGTGTTCCATTTAAAAAAAATACAACTTTGGTATTTTTTATTTATTTGGGACACTCTGTATCTTGTAAAAATATTTTTAAATTGTAGCTCTAACAGTCCTTCAATGAACCCAAAACTTACAATTTGTAAAAATCTAATCATTTAGCTACAATACTCCGTGTCGTATGTGATGAACAACCCTGTATACAGTACTCTTCAAAAATAATCTTAATTGCGACATACGGTAATCTACATCTATTTCATTTGTTTCCAGGTGTATCGTGGCGAATGGCGTGGCAAGGAAGTGGCCGTGAAGGCCGCTCGCCAGGACGCCGACGAGGACCTGAAGGTGACCATGGAGAACGTCATCAAGGAGGCGAAACTCTTCTGTCTCCTGCAGCACGAGAACATCGTCTCGCTCAAAGGAGTCTGCTTGCAGGAGCCCAATTTGTGCTTAGTAAGTTATCAATAATATTTTTAAACTGTTATGTCAGATTTATAAAAAAATATATACATTAGGGTGTCCCTTATTTACCAAGTTGATCATTTCTCTCACGACGCCCTCTAACGTTTTTAGTTTATTGTCTAAAAAATAATAATAGACCATTGTAAACCCTTAATATTCACAATAAACCTTACATGGGAATTTGCCACTTTTTGCAAATATTTTTTTTCTCTCGATCTTGTTCTCTCGCAGCCATGACAATCATTATTCTTGTACAGAATTGAACGCTCTACAAAAAAAGCATGGGCGCCGGAAGAACGAAATTTAGGGGGGCAAGGTAAAAATGAATAAAAAATTGACATTTTTGGTAATTATTGGGAAAACTGGAAATCGTCCGATTTTCACTAAAATTGGTATACACCCTATTTTGAAGTCGTAGATTACGAATTTGAACGTTACGAATCTTTTTTCTTGGCGGTCTCTTACCGTTTTTGAGAAAAACGGAAAATAATTTCAATATCGAATTTTTCTTAATTTCTCATATGTTTAAGGTTTTCTAGCACATATTTTGTTAGGTATTCAATAATCAATAATGTTTTTGCTCTTTTCTGTTACTTTTTTAACCAATTCTATGCATAATAGAGGAAAATTTGTTAAAATAAATTTGTAAACAATCTGAAAATGTTAGATTATGGCTTTGTTCGGGTTCTTGTTATTACCGATTCTGAACCGTCCAAGAACTCTGCAGCGCATGCGCAAATGAAGTAATGTCTTCATATTTCCTTCTGCGCATACACATCACAGTTCTAGGACGGTTCAGAATCGGTAATAAGAGAAACCCGAAGTAAGTTTATGTCTTTCTGGCATTTAAAGCAACGTTGCCAATGTTAAACCTAAATTTAGCGTGTTTTTTTCGCTCATTCTGGAATTACGAAAGGCGGTCGCCAGAAGAACGGCTCCTTCCCATAACTGCTATTTTACCAACGAGATCTGACTATTTATACCCACGAAGTTGCACGAAAAAGTTTTGATTGCATTGGTTACAACTTCCATGCAGAGGGTGTTAATCTTTTGTTGTTATATTATTAGATTAACTAAGAAAAGATTAACCTCCTCCGCAAAGAAGTTAAAACCAATGCAATCAAAACTTTTCCGCGTAATTTTGTGGATATTGGTGTATATTTAATTATTGTTGATCTCATAATAGGTAATTTATTTAAATTCCGTAATCACCCGAAAAAATAGAAGATATGGCAACGTTGTAAATTTTCAAATTTCTAGATTAGGTCTAGAATAAATTTGTCTCTCTTATTACATAGGAGAGAGAAAGAAGGATATATCAAATGTCAAACTTCCATCTGGTCTCAATTTTCTTTGCTATTTTGTAAGAAAAGTGTTTTTCAGTAAAATGTTGGACACTTTTCTATCCCCAATCAAGTGTGGCTTTTAGATAAACTATAATATAATGAAAATATAGTGAATTATTACTTTATAGGGCCGAAATAAAGAAAAATTCAATGTTGAAATAATTTTCCGTTTTTCTGAAAAACGGTAAGAGACCGCCAAGAAAAAAATAGATTCGTAATCTACGACCTCAAAATAGTGTGTATACCAATTTTGGTGAAAATCGGACGATTTCCAGTTTTCCCAATAATTACCACATTTTTTATTATTTTACAAGTAACACCTAACAATTTCGTAATAATGATTATTTTTTTTACAGATGCATGTCAGAAGATAGCTTTTATTTTTATTGTTTCAGTGATCCAGGGGGGGGCAAATGCCCCCTCTTGTCTCCCCTGTCCGGCGCCCATGAAAAAGAGGTCTCCTTACAATTTTTCGATAAACTTACTCCTTCAAAAGTTATTCACGGTTAAAATTTGCTACTCGGCAAATTCCTAAATTCTGCAACTTTTTTGACAAATCAAAACGTAACCAAATTGGCTACGTTGTAAACTAAATAACTAGCTACACTGGCAATATATCTAATAATAATACCTTATAGTTTATGAATTATCGCTAGTCAATGTTCTTTAATTTCAACAAGACTCAGATTACAGTTGGGGGTTGGGTGTTACAAAGTAAGAGGGTAATTTACCACAATACATCAAAACACTTACTTTTTCACTGAAAGTGGTTTTATAACTGAATTTATCCTACGTTCTTGCAAAATTTGTAACCAGTTTGTCGTTAGAATATGTAATGATATTGTCTGTTGCAGGTGTTAGAGTACTGCCGAGGCGGTTCGCTGAATCGAGTATTGGCCGGTCGAAAAATTCGACCGGACGTCTTGGTGGACTGGGCCATCCAGATCGCGCGAGGCATGGACTATTTGCATTCCAAGGCGCCCATCTCGCTCATACACAGGGACCTGAAGAGTTCGAACGGTGAGTGGCACCTTATTTTTTTATTCTTGATTACCTGTATAAGCAAACTAATAAAAAATGTGTTCAAATATGTTGGTTTATCTGTTGTATCTATTGAAGAATCGTGGATATGTCGGAGGCAGATGCCGAATTCGGCCTATGTCCGAAATAATTAGACATATGGCGATATGTCCATACTACATTTGCCAGATGCGTGCAACTTTTTGGTTATAAATAGTCTTTATATAAACTTCTTTGCGGAGGGGGTTAATCTTTTTTTGGTATAATATAACAACAAAAGATTAACACCCTCCGCATAGAAGTTGAAACCAATGCAATCAAAACTCTTCCGCGTAACTTTGTTGATATAGGTAGGTATATTTAATTATAATCGCCATATGTCTGATTATTTCGGACATGGGCCGAATTCGGCATCTGCCTCCAACAGATACATTTATTATCAATTAAAGAAATATTTTGAAAATAATAGTATAACCACAGATTAGGTATCCTATAAGTATACAGATAAAAATCTTGTCCCTAATTCGTGGTACGAAAATTGTTTTTTATGACGAAGTGCAAACGAGTCAAATTTCCTGTGCGCAAAAATAAACTCGCGTAAAATAACAATAAACAGCGTAATAGAGAGATATCGCTAAACCGAATGGCGTGCATGGACGTTAATAAGGCCAGGTGTTATTTCCTTTACGTGAGGTGGTATTAACTCTCTTCATTTATAGTTATCGGATCGGAAAGAATTCTTATCGCGGCGCGTCCGCTATTTAAACTTAACCTAACTTTGAATTTAAAACTTTGAAATTGTTTTGTTTACTAGGTATTTTAAAACTAAAGGGCTAAAGTGCTTATTTCCAGTGCTTTATTGTTCAACGTCTGCCAATGGGTTTAGGGTAACAAGCAACAAATTCTCTTAGAAGGGCTAAGTCGTCATCTGCTGTAAACCTAAGACTCTTTATAGGTTCTTTAGTATTAGAAGAGGTGGAATCCATATATTGGGCCATATTTATTTAATTAAAACTAATCCCAGCTACTTAAATATCAAATTACCTAATAAAACTAAAGCAATAATTCAAAACAATTCAAACATAACCTAAAATAAAAGATCTTGCCGGCCGGCTCCGGTTGTCAAATACCCGTACATGCCCATTTAAGCAATTTATAAACGTTATCAGAGGTTATTTAGAAAGAGCGCTTGGTGTAATTGATCCGCAAATTACGTCAAGCGGTAACGTTATTAGCGGGTGTTGCGTTAAAAATTGACTCGCGCATATCGTAACCATGATAATGTACGCGTAAATACTGGATGACGCTATTCGGTTTCCCGATATCTCTCTAATAACTGTGCCGGTCAGGTGCTATGCACAATTTTAGAGGCCATAAGTGGGCCTGCTATGTACGCAAACTAGTCACCTAACTAGTGCCCGATTCCGAAAATTGGAACCACGAAAAACAATAAAGAAAAAACAAAGATTATAATCTGTATAATCTGTGGTCTAACTTTATTATTATTTGCTGGCTACTTATATTCGATACCAATTAAACTTTTAGTTACGTAATCGAGGACGCAATTTTTAAAATTATTGTTGCCAACCATGGATATATTCGGTGCCGGGTTGACTAACTGAAATTTAAATTTCCCGCTGAGGATTCAGGTGGTAGCTCTGCTGTAAAAAATGCCAAGTTGCCACATTTATTTATTTATTTCGTGACGTTGTCATTCGTTTTGACACTTTAGTTTTGTATTACAAGTTTTTAGTTTAAATTAATTGTGTTGTGATATTTTAAGCTTAAACATTTTTACTAGCAGACCTTGCAATCGAACATTGTTCTTTTTAGAACCTCTTTTAGTGCGAAGTGTACATGATAGCTTAATAGCCGTAAAAAACTCATCGCAACTTTATTAGAATATTTTGAACGTCCTCTTTATGTCCCTTAAGTACTGTTAAAAAGGCGCGTTTTATTTTTGTTTCCTAAAATTTGATTAAAAAAAATATGTAAAAGTGGGCAACGCTGTACCTGTCAAAGTTAATCACATGACTAAACGTTTATGTGATATGAACTATATAAGTACATTTGATATAGAACATAGTATATGTAAAATTATGTCTATATTTTTATATGAGATACATTTGTGCGTACTTCTGGTATTTTTATACTGAAACAAAATAAAAATAGTTGAAAACTAAAATATTTACTTCATGTTAAAAGCTACTTGTTGAGTGTTTAGAATGCAACAATACAAACTTTTCAGCGACTTTTTACTTGTCGTAAACGTCAAATATAGTTTTTACTTTTAAAAAAAATTAGAACTATTCTAAGTTTAGTTATTATTTTGACTGATTGTGACTGAAATCTGAATTGTTTTCTTTTATAATCCTGTCGTTAAACATCTTTTTGGGTGCTCCTCGTAAAAACGAACGTAAGCGGTGGCACCACTCGTTCCGTACACCTTTATCTAATGACGTAAGAGAGAGAGCACAAACGAAGCTACATTAGATGTTTATTTACGAGCCACTGCTAATTAGCAAGGTCGCCCAATTCATCCTTCTCTTTCAATCGATCCGTCCCTCCGTCACTCTAACCGTTATACAGGGTGGATCACTTTCAGACAGACCAATATTAACCAATGAAGAGTATTGTTTATATCTGAGCGAATTTTTGAAAATACAGGACGTTTCTGTATTAGTGTGCGAATATTTCACATGGTGATGTCAGGGTTGATATAAACGTGTTATAAAATGCTTCGATTTCGAGATACAGGGCGTCAAACTTTTTAGAAAAAAAAAATTAATTAAGGGGCATTTTTCAATGAATTTTTTTTTATTAATTACCACTAATTTTGACGTTCTGAATGGTTGTATTGAAATTAGAGGAACAAACTTCTGCTCTAATTCTTACGCTAATATTATTCTACGCTATGCTAATTTATTTCACTAATTTTGAGGTTCTATAGCTTCATTAAAACCTCGAAATTAGTGGAACAGCCGGATTATTATGGGATATTATTGCACTCAGGGGATCGATTTGGTGTCGAATCAAAATAATTCACCTAAATTTTTAGCTCTTTAATTCAAACGGTTCTCGAGATTTTCAAAAAAAAACTGTATTTTCAATTTTATTTTTATTTTTATAGTCAAATTCAAAATTAATTAATGATGATTTTTTTTCTAATTCTTAGAAGTCTAAGACATGAAAAAATATGATCATGATCTTTTAGAATTTAGAATTTAGAATGAGTGGGAGGGGGGTTAATCACTTCGACCTTACAGATCCATTGTGTCCCCCTTTCTTGAATCATAACTCATCATACAGTCCCAGGGCTTTGACAAAAGCCAGTATCTGGGACGGTTTTATAGAGGGTAGTTCTCCATCTCCAATATCAGTCGTACCAAAATTCATGGCACGAATGGTTGTCGTCTCGGCGCACTCAGTGATGAGGTGTACTGGTGTTTCACCATCTTCCCCACAGAATCTGCATTCGCCGTTTCTTCTTAGTTTCAATCTACTGAGGTGTTCATTGAGGAGACAGTGTCCTGTTAAAAACCCCGTGACAATCCGAAGATTGTTCTTACTCAGACCCAGGAAGATCTGTGATTTTTCTTGATCATAAGCCCTCAGAAACTTCTTCGAGTGTCCTAGACCATTGCAAGATTTCCATTCCCTCATGGATCATGATCTTAAACGAAAAGCCGATTTTTAGGAGGAAAGAAAATTAAAATAATAAAAAATATGTCACTCACTAAAAATCGGCAGAAAATGTCTTTTATACTTCTTTACAGTCAGGAATTTTTTAGAATTTTTTATTTTATATATAATTTTAGAAAAAAAATGAGTTTTTAATTTTTTTCATATTGTTCCACCACTTCAGAAAATTCTGAAAAATCCCTGAGTGTAACGGAGTATAAAAGACATTTTCTGGCGATTTTTAGTGAGTGTCGTATTTCACAAAGGTAAAAAAAATGAAGATTTTAATTTTCCTTCGCTAAAAATCGGCTTTTCGTTTAAGAATGAAGAAGCTTTTATCTGAATGTTGTTTGGACCACCCTGTTTTTTACTTTACGCTCGCTCGCTTCACCAATTAAATAATAATAAGGCGCCGCCGTACCAAATACAGTCGTACCAGTACTGTCGCCTATGCGACTGGATGAATATACGTACGCAATAGTTTACTTTGGTAGTGGCGTTAGTTGCCATTTTCGGTACCCAACATCGACGACGGATTACGAAATTGATTTTATTTCGTATAGTAGAACCAGATTTTTATTTCTAAAATTAATTTTAATCAGAATTCTAGCTTAGTAAATGGGCTGTTTATAGCACCGTCTACACCTAACGTTTTACCTGTCCTGTACCTGCTAGGACGGATTAAAAACTAGCGTACACACATAGATACATGAAACAAGTTTATATTGGAATGTGCCCATAAGGATAATGTAAACCATAGAATAACTAACTGAAAGAAATGAAAACTCCTATGTTAAAGCCTGGAAACACGCGCTCGGCGCGATCCAAGCGGGCTACTGGCAGAACTAAAAGTTCGCGCCATATTTTTAAATGGACCTTTACTGCCAGTTCATAAGTTCTTTACTTATATTTGGTAATTTCAATCTAGATTATGAACTTATTTGTAACAAAACATTTTACAAAATAAAAATAATGTATTTTGATACAAATAAATTAATAATCTAGGTTGAAATTATCCCTGAAATTAGAATAAAACACGAAAAATCTGTAACTTTATTATTTTATTATAACATTGTTAAAATTACATAATAACACATTCAACACTATACAAGTATATATAAAAGTTATCAGAATTTATACAATCAGTTATAAGTAATTATAAAAAAGGTTATAAATTATAAATAAATAATTCATTATATAAAAGACATATAGTTACCGTGAATATAATTTGGTATAACTTTAATCTCAACTTTAATGACCTATTCAAATAGAAACATCTTACAATTCACATTATATAATACACAAAGCCAAGGGACAAA